CCCCCAAAACCCCAAAACCCCAAAACCCCTTCTTCAAAATAAAATATTTAAATTATAATATTTTGAATGAACAAGTTAACAGCGCTTGAAACTTTCAAAATCGACGTTGTTTTCCAAGAGACCATCCAGAAACTTTATTTCCTGGACTCACTCAAATCCAATATGGGTTCTGAGATGTCTGAAATGATGAGCGAGGAGATCTCAAGAGTCATGACTGAACAACGGAATCTTGAAAAGAAATATGCTAGGCTTGGCCAACAAAGGTCTCAGCTCAAAGGTCTTCAGAACAAAGAAAAACTGCAAGAAGTTATTGAAGAAATCAAAGAGACCGCTAGAGAGCTAAAGGATTCAACAAGAGCTCTCTGCAGAGTCCTGAAGGATAACCCTGATATCAATGGAAACCAAATCAAGATCAGAAATGATCGAATGGAACTGATCGCTATTGCTGAAGACCTTCTTGTGCAGATGAAGGATCTTTCTTACCAAAAATTTAAGGACACTATTATTGAAGGACATGAAAACAATGAAAAATTAGGAAAACTTCGTAAAGAAGAGAAGGAACTCCAGACCAAGATCAAGAACATCACTACTGAACATAATGAAAAGGACGAAGAGTCATTGCTAGAGTTTGAGGAGACTGAAAAAGAAATCAAATTACTTGAAAAAACTCTAAATGATAGTAAAACAGACTCTGATCTCCTCCTCAAATATCTCCAGGATAAAGCAGATGGAGAGGAAATTTGCCAACTCAGAGGTTTCGAACAAAAAGAGACAGTCCTCGAAGATGAAATCAGAGAGCTAGAAGATAAAATTAATCGTGAAAAACAAGTTTCAGATAAAATAAAGACCTTCCTCTTGGCAAAGAAGCAGGAACTTGAAAATGAGGCTGAGAAATGGGATGTCAAGAATAAACAAGAAACTGATAAACTCACTCAAGAGATCAAAGAGTTAGAGGATAAGAGGAAAGAAGATGAAGAAAGACATAGAGAAGTCCAAGCCCAACTCGAGAATGAAAGTGCTGAACTTGAAAGAAAGAAGAAGGAAGAAGAAGCCCAACAGAGAGAGCTCGAAAGAAAGAAACAAGAAAACATCGCCAGAGATAATGCAGCCAGGTATCTCCAAGACAAATGGATCTGGTGGGATAAAGTGGGTAGAGGTCTATCCAAAAAGGGCAGGAAAGGCAAGAAGAAGAAAAAGAAGAAGTCATAATTCCTTCACTCCAATGCAATTTCAATTTTCTGTGACTAAAACGGGGTTTTGGGGTTTTGGGGTTTTGGGGTTTTGGGG